CTGTCTGGTTATATCCTTTATACACTTATGTATCAAATTGGCCTTCAAAAAACTGTAGGAATTCTGGGACAAGAATATTAGCGCTTTGTTTGATACGAACTGCAATTATTTTCCCAGTTTTATATTTGTATTGACTATCTGTGTGTGTATTTTGCCACTCAGATTTTTAAAATGTAGCTAAATTTGTCAGTCTTTTAAAATAACTCCTGGATTCTCAGTTCTTAGAAAGTTCTTCCTCACTCATAAATCATTAAAAACTCATTGCTGTGTTTTTTTCCTCATATTTATGTTTTTTTTTTTTTTTTCAGACAAGTTTTTATTCCATGAGCAACTTATTTTGGTGCAGGTAATGAAGTAGGAATCCAACATTGTTTCCAAACTACCACTCGTTCGCTCTTAAGTAATCCATCTTTATTTGCTTGAAAACACAATTTTATCATATTCTAGAATTCTGATATCATCTTTAAATTGACAAAAACTGTATATATTTCATATGTGATGTTTTGATACACGTATATTGTGAAATTGATTACCACAATCAAGCTGGTTACATCCATCACCTCACATACTTATTTCTCCTGGTGAGAACATTTCAAGATCTACTCCTACCAATTTTCAAGTATATAACTAGCCACGCTGCTGCACAATAGGTCTCCAGAACTCACTCATCCTGTTTAACTGAAACTTTGTACCCTTTAACCAACATCTCCCCATTTATCCCCTCCCTCCAGCCCATGAAACCACCTTTCTACACTCTACTTGCGAGTTCGATTCTGTGATTCCATATCCAAGTGGGATCATGGCTTATTTCACTAGCATAACATCCTCCAGGTCCATCCATGTTGTCATAAGTCAGTTATTTCCTTCTTTTAAGGTTAATAACATTCCATTGTGTAGATGTACCATATTTTATCTTTTTTTTTTGAGATGAAGTCTTACTCTGTCGCTCAGGCTGGAGTGCAGTGGCGGAATCTCGGCTCACTGCAATCTCCACTTCCTGAGTTCAAGCCATTCTCACTTCAGCCCCCGAGTAGGTGGGATTACAGGCGCCCGCCAAGATGCCCGGCTAATTTTTGTATTTTTTGTAGAGAGGGGCTTCATCATGTTGGCTAGGCTGGTCAAGAACTTCTGACCTCAAGTGATCCACCTGCCTTGGCCTCCCAAAGTGCTGGGATTACAGGCGTGGGCCACCACGCTCAGCCCTATCTATCTTCTGTTGATGGACACTTAGGTTGATGTCTTGGCTATTGTGAATAATGCTTCAGTGAACGTGTATCTCTTCAACATACTGATTGCATTTCCTTTGGATGTATACCCAGTAATGGGATTGCTGGATCATATGTATTTTTATTGAGGAAACTCCATACTGTTTTCCACAATGTCTGTACTAATTTACATTCACACCTAGTGTATAAGGGTTCCGTTTTCTCCATATCCTCACCAACACTTGCATTTTGAGTCTATTGAACTATTTGGTTTTATGTTCTTTTATGAACCAGTACCATACTGCTTTAATTACACAGTTCTATAATATACTTTATTTCTGGAAGGGCTAGTTTCTCTCTGCAGGGACTTTTTGGAAACATTTTTATTTTTCCATATACATTTAGAAACAGCTTGCCCAGTTCCAAAATAGCTCTTTGTATTTTATTGTAATTATGACAAATATGTAATTTGACAGGGAAAATTAACACCTTTTAAAATAATGTTGAGTCTTCTTATTCAAGAACACTATATGCCTTCAAGTGATTACATCTCATGTTTCTCATTAGCATTTTCAAGTTTTCTTCAACCATATCAATTTGGTAGTACTAATTTTTAAAAAACCTTCCTCCTTTCCACTTTAATTTTTCTTTTTTCTTGAGAAAGGGTCTCACTCTGTCACCCAGGCTGGAGTGCAGTGGTGCAGTCTCAGCTCCCTGCAACCTCTACCTCCTGGGTTCAAGATTCTCCTGCCTCAGCCTCCCAAGTAGCTGGGACTACAGGTGCGTGCCACCATGCCTGGCTAACTTTTGTATTTTTTGTTTTTTTAGTAGAGACGGGGTTTCACCATGTTGGCCAGGCTGGTCGTGATCTCCTGGTTTTGATTCACCCGTCTCAGCTTCCCAAAGCGCTGAGATTACAGGCGTGAGCCACTTTGCCTGGCTCTCCTTTATCTTCAATATCTCTATTTTCTCTTGTTTAAATACAATGGCTATTAAGTGTAGAATACAGCTAAGTAATAACACCACACTACGGTCATTAGTTCAGGTTGGGCTATTTATAATATAATAAATACCCATGATGAAACACCACTGCCCAACCTCAAACTAGATCATTGCCAATAACAATATTGACTTATTTTACTTGCCAGCCTCTTCTCACCACCAAAGTAAACATTATTGAGAATTTTTAGTTTATCATTCTTTTGCTTTTTGGTTTTATCATATATATAATATACACACACATTAGTCAATTCTCATTTCTTGCAGATTCCATATTTGTGAATTTACCTCTTGCTAAAATTTATTTCTAACTCCAGTATAAGTACTTGCTGGGCTTTTGTAGCCATTTGTGGACATGGAGCACGTGAAAAACTTTGAATTGCCTACTGTCCATGTTCCCAGATGAGGTGGAACAACATCTTGTTTCAGCTCTCATAAACAAGTATCCTTTTCAGTCTATTTAGTGCCATATCTTTTGCATTTCTGTGGATTTTGCAGCTTCAAGTGGTCCCCAAGCACAGTGCCAAGTGTTCTTAAGTGCAAGAAGACTGTGATGTGCCGCCTGGAGAAACTGAGGTAAGCTTCACTCAGGAATAAGTTAGTGTGGTGGGCTGAGTTCAATGTTAATGGGTCAACCATATATATATACTAAGGTATCTTCAAACAGAAACACATGTAACAAGTTTATGTACTGATCGGTTGATGAAAATGTGACCAGAGGATCATAGGAACCCAGTCCTGCATTTCCCTTGGGAATAATGGTTCAGTACTCTCTAATTCAGTGTTCATGGTGACTTTATAAAACATAACTACTATAGATAATGAGAATAGACTGTACATACATACACACACACACACACACATATATATATATATATATGCAGTCAACTCTTAGTATTTGTGGAGGATTGGTTCCAGAACCTCCCTTGGATATAGAAATCCTCTGATGCTCAAGTCCCTAATATGCAGTATTTGGATATAACCTGTGCATACCTTCTCATATACTTTTAAGTCATCTCTAGATTACCTAATACATCTAGATACCCAATACAGTATAAACACTATCTAATACTTGAATTGTTTAGGGAAAAATGACAAGGAAAAATGTCTGTACAGGTTTAGTCCAGACACAATTTCCCCCCTCAATATTTTCAACCTGTAGCTAGTTGAGTCCATAGATGTGGAACCCACATATACAGACAGCCAACTGCATGTCTAAACAAGTTTCACTTGTTTTTGAACTTTTGGAGTATCATAATGTATGTCTTCTGAGACCAGCTTTTTTCATTCAACACTATTAACATTCACCTATGTTGTTACAGCTGCAAGACAACTTATATGTCCTTGTTTTACATGTGTCTCCTGTAAACAGCATACAATTGGGGTTTGCTTTAATATTCAATTTTTCCTTGGGCTAGTTTAATACTTATACATTTATTATAATTACTGATGTATTTGGACTTGTTTTGCCATCTTGTTTTATCCACCTTTTCTATGCTTATTTCTCAAATTTAAAATTTTGTTTCTTGCCTATTATCCCACCATTTCTCATCACTATTCATTTAGGGATTATATATACTTCTAGCAATTAACCTTGGAATTTTATCATGCATACTTAAAAAGACTAAGTTGATATTAACTGGCTACTCCCAAAAATGTAAGAAAACTGAAACGTTTTGACTCGATTAACCTTCTTCCCACCATGCTCTCTACTTTTAACCTCACAGTTTGGCCTGTCATTACCATTTTGCCAATAAGATCTGTTTACACTTCCCTACCTGTAAGAAAGTATCTATCATTACTATCCACACTTTATGACTCCCATAACTTGTATTTCCTAAGGTACATATCTCAGAACCGAATTCCAGGGTGGGGTTCATATTGCTTATTACTTTCAAACTATTCAGCTTTAGGTATCATAGCATCTACCACTTATCTGTGCTTACTACATACCAGGCGCTATTCTCTACAAGTGGTGATTAACCTGACATTTATTAATTCATGGAATCCTCATAATACCCTAATGGACTATGTATGTTTATGATCCACATCTTATGACTCTTATAATAATTTATCTTTCCTAAGGCTACACATACCTCAGAACTAGGATCCAGGCCTTTTTGATTCCCCATTGCCTTCATCCACCTTTTCACTCCAATATGTAATTTCCTGAGTTCTTGAATAATGACTTGTTTCTTTCTAAGACACACAGTGGTGAGGTGGAACTCCAGGATACCAGAGGAAACGGATGTCTGAAGTTACACAGGCAAGTACTCTAGCCTACAAGGCCTCTGGGAAATGCCATCTAGTCTTTGCTCAAATTGAGCCACTGGCAGACCTCAATATAACTGAAGGCCGTACCCTCAAGTTACAGATAGCACCTAAGAATTTTCTGAAGTTTTGGGGAAACCTCTTTAATCTTTAACCCACAGATCTTAATTGTCCCTCCCCGAACTAAAGTGGCAAACAGCTCCATCTTACTATTAATGTATTTTAAGATAGTGACTACACACTCTACTCTTTTAGTTTAGATTAAGCATCCAATTTTCTCAGCTATTTTTTCTCCATGGATTCTTATTTTCATTTCCTATAGAAATCACACGAATCCTCAAGAAAAGGTACAGTTTTGCCAATGGACACCTTTCCATACTGAAAACCAAAAGAACAGTTTGGTAAAACAGTAACCTGCCAAACACATAACCAACTTTTTTACCTACAATATTCACTTCCTGGTTTCTGTGTGATCTAAAACATTTTCCTCCCTTCCACCCGGCAATGAACTCACATAAGATGAAATTAATTTACAAAAGGTAGGCTATGTTTATTAGAGTCACACACAGTTGACTGTCTCAGTGTGACTCAAGACCACAAAAAACCCATTTCTCCTTCACTTCTGAGTCCTGGGTTTAAGACCTATACCAGCAGGCGTACTGCTTGGGGTCCTATTCACAGGTTTACAAGTTTTTCATTGAGGGCAATCTGTGACTGTGTGAGGTTGGCCAGGTAGGTCACCATCAGCAGGTCCTGGAAGACAAAGAATACACAATGAGTGGGGGGTTGGGTGGAAAGGGAGCAAAAAGGCTGGCACTGGCCGGCTCTATGGTGGGCACTAGGTATGAGGACAGTTGTGGATAAATGACAGCTGGGAGAGACCGAATAAAAGTCAAAAAGGTAGACGACAGAAAAGAAATGCTTGAGAAGACTTTCTTATCTCTACTGAGACACTTACAGTCTAGGGGTGCCTTAGCTGAAACCCATGGATGGAATATAGGGGGTCCGTGAACTCAGATGGGGAAAACAAGTAATTGCATTTTCCTTAACCTCTGAATTTTAGTGTTTCTTTCTATCACAAATTTAGACAGTAAGTCACAGTAGTATCAGCAGTAAATGAGACAATGTAATCACGGGAGAAGGAAGAAGTCTCCAAACATGCATACCACACCTCTTCCTTCCTCCCAACCTGGACTTCCATGGGGCTATAGGTGAAGCCCTGTCTCTATCCTACTCCAGGCCACCTCACCCAACTCTTCACATTTTTTTTTTTTTGAGACGGAGTCTCGCTCTCTCCTGGGGCTGGAGTGCAGTGGCGCAATCTCGGCTCACTGCAAGCTCTGCCTCCTGGGTTCACGGCATTCTCCTGCCTCAGCCTCCCGAGTAACTGGGACTACAGGCGCCCACCAGCGCCCAGCTAATTTTTTGAAGTTTTTAGTAGAGACGAGGTTTAACCGTGTTAGCCAGGATGGTCTCGATTTCCTGACGTCGTGATCCGCCCACCTCGGCCTCCCAAAGTGCTGGGATTACAGGCGTGAGCCACTGCGCCCGGCCAACTCTTCACATTTGAGTGTATGTGCTGAGGTAGGGGAAGAAACCAGGCAAGCAGGGGCTCAGGAAGGGCACTCACATTGATGTTGCTGTTGAGCATGGTCTCGAAGTCATCGGGAACTATTTTGGGTACTTGGTTAACCAGGCTCATCAGGAAGCGGCCCACAGTATTGTCAGCTGACACCTTTCCAGACTGGGCACCAAAACAAAGACTCAATGAGGCAGTTAATTATAACCACTGGGCCCTACCATTTCATCAGCACCTGCCTCAGTAATCCCAGGATGGAGAACTATGTCCTCCCCCTTTGTTTTTTCTTTCCCCTCTCACCAGTACATCCTCTGCATATTGCAACACTGTGCTCAGGGCATCCTGGATGCGAGCTGATGCCCCTCCTACTTGCTGCAAGTCACTTGAAAGTCCAATCACTCTGTTGGGGCTAAAGCAGGTCTTCATGATCAGGTCAACTGTGGAAGTTGGGTGGCAGTGGCAGTGGAGGGCAGTAAGAGAGAGAATTCAGTCATCCCACCAGGAAAGAGATGGCCTTAAAGTCCTGCTAACTCTGTTTCCCACCTCCCCTTAGACAGTCTGCTCAATCACACTCCCTGCTGTGCCCTTATCAGCTTTTCTTCCTCCTAACAGAGCTCAACTCCTTTTACCTGGTATGCTCATCACTGGTTTTGATCTCATGTGAATGGTCATGTGGCCTCTGGTGCTGATAATTTCCCACCTTTAACAGTTTCTCAAATAATTCCTTAAATCCCATTTATACAAGAGATGACTGTAACTTCTAGTCTTCACAAACCTTAGATCAACAGTCCCTTTTTAAACCACCCAAGGCCTCCATCCTTGTTGCAGAACAGCAGCCCCCTTCCCTGAAAACGCCTATGACCTCTCAAGAGAGTATGGAAAGGTTACTCACCTCCGATGCGTTCAGTGTCATAGTATGCGTATTTCACTGTCAGAGGTGTGAACATCACTCCCATGGTCCTCCCAGGGACACCCATTAAAGTACTGAGGAAGGAGAAGCCAAGGTAAACAGATGGCCTTGGGAGAGGGTTTCCATGTCTATTCTGGGCTGAGAATGCAGATACAGCAGGAATATGGCTCCCAAGGTTCTAAGATAGGAAGGGTGGGACCAAATGAACCCGAGGTCTCATGGGAGCAAAAGTTACTTTCTCCCCTTAGCTTGTCCCACATACCAAACCTTTGATCTGTAAGAGGGGACTCAACCTTTGCACTTGGCCTGGTCCCTTTAGAGGATTACTTCACACACGGTGCAGTGTCAGTGATGAGAGGACAGGACTCAATTACCCATGGAGTTGGCTGTCTATATAGCTGCCCACCATAGAAAAGAGACAGAGACAAGTCTTTTCTGGGACCAAGCCCTTCATCAGCATTGAAAAAGGAAACCAACTCCTGCTCACCAAATCAGATTGGGTGCTATAAGTAATCTCACTAAAGGTATTGTTTTTACTATGTCAATTATATACCTGGATCTATACTTTACTATGTCAACTATCTATCCTATCTATCTATCTATCTATCTATCTATCTATCTATCTATCTATCTATCTATCTACAACCCATCCAGCTGGATCATATATAGATCTTATATATATATATATATATATACTGGATCTTGAGGAGCCTGAAATACTTGGGAAGGCTAAGAAGTCAGGCAATGGCTAGTGCTTAGTGGTATGCCAACTGGCTCATAAAGACTTGGCATCCACCATCTTTGTCTTACTGTGTAAGAGTTAACTGGCTTTGTCAGTGTCAGACACAGAATCAGCACAAAATCAACAGCCTAACAGATGCACTAACAGCTGCCTTCCCTCTGACTTTCCAACTCCCACAGCTGCTTCCAACTCCCACAGCTGCTTCCTCAGCACGCCACCAGGGCCTTTCCCAACATCCCCCTTAACTGGCATTTTAACCACCTGCAAGCTCAATGTGTTCACTGTAATGTCACTGTCATTAAAACTGCACTCAATCCTGGGTTAATTAATGTGTTCAAAATAAGGACAGTCATCCTTTCATATGTACTACCCTGAGTACTGCGCTGAGTTCTAGAGACGATGACAAACTAATGGGTAATTCAGAAAAGTAATGAATGTGGTGAAGGATCATGACAAGAATACCACATGATGACTGGTTGTAGGAACTATGGAGTCAAGTTCTACAAAAGACGACTTGATAGCTTGCTCAAATACCATGTGATGACTGGCTATAGGAACTATGGATAATTAGGTTCTACAAAAGATGACTTGATAGCTTGCTCAAATACTTAAAAGGGCAATGAGTAGAAACTGGAGTACAACTAGGATCAGCGGTAGAAATTATAGGAACAGATTCTGTTTCAGAGTGAAACCGTTTGAATAACTGTTGAGAGAGAGGAACACAGCAAGTTACACACGGAAGGAATGAACCTTGCTTGGGGTGGGGGAGGGATGGCATCTAGGCATGGTTTTATGCCCTTGTAGCCCAAGACTGTGGTCACCTGACATAGGCTTTGATGCTCATGCGGCCGTTCTGGAGACTTGTGTCCACAGTGAGGTGGATGGGGTTGGGGGCCTCTCGGCTGTAGTACTCATGGATTAGCACAGAGTGCTCTGTGATGTCATGGCCTGTAGCGTACCTGTGAAATGGAACACAGTTGCAGACTCATGTCTATATGTGACATCAACGTCAAACACAACAGTGGCATGGGAGACTTTAGGGTACCCAATACCTCTATGGTAGGGATACCTAGTGATACCAAATGCCAAGAACAATATATACATTGAAAACTATGTCAAATAAAATCAACTTAGTGCTGCCGAAAAATTCCAAGTCTCTTACAAGGTAATTCAAAATATCCTGGCCCCACAGGATCAGAACCACCAGCAAAACCCACTGAATTCACAGTTCCTACAGGTAACACACTTTCCTTTTTTGTTTTTCAGAGACAGGGTCTCACTCTGTCACTCAGTCTGGAGTGCAGTGGCATGGCATGATTATAGCTCACTGCAGCTTCAAATTCCTGGCCTCAAGTGATTCTCTAGCCTTAGCCTCCTAAGTAGCTAGGACTATAGGTGTGTGTCATCATGCCTGGCTAAGTTTTTAAAACATGTATTTGTAGAGTCAGGGTCTCATTATTTTGCTCAGGCTGATCTTGAACTACTGGGCTCAAGTGATCCTCTTGCCTCAGCCTCCCAGCTGGGATTACAGGCATTGAGCCACTGCTCACAGTCAGTAATACACTTGCAATACTCTTGTCTCCAAAAGGAAGAGGATAAGATCCAATCCAGTAGCAAAAGACACTGGCAATCACGGAGAGATTTTCCATTAGCCCCAACCCCAACCCCCACCTCCCCAACTTACCAGCCCAGGATGAGCTCATTTGGAGAAACTTTTTTATGCAGTTCATACATGTTCTTAGCAAATTCCATGTCAACAGCCACCTAACAGGGAAGGCAGGAAAGTAAGCTAAGAAGCCAGAAGTCCAAAGAAAAATTGGTTAAAAAGGACAAGAGACCACCCCCAATAAACAGAAGAGGCCCAAGAAGTACGTACAAATGAGAAGAAGCTCCTTGGCTACAGGAGCTCTAGTTGTGAGTGTGGGAGGGGCCGTGAGGGGAACCTAGCAAACGAACAGCTAAAAACTACAGAGGGACAGCTTGGATTCCTACTCACTTCATCTTCTGACTCATTGTGTGGCACTGAAAAGCAATTGGTGACCTCCACTGAGTGCTTGTCGACAGTTCCTGTGAAAGAGAGAATCGTTCATGTGTTATACAATCCTAGGGCTCCCAACAACCTCCAACTACTTTTGAAATGCTTTTGATGATCTCTTCAATGTCAATGAACACCTAACTGAACTCATTAGCTCCAAGTTTAGTCCGGTGCATCAATGGGACCAGAATTCTCCAGGAACTGAAACTCTGGTGTGATCACCAGCTTATCCCTCTAATCATCACCAAATAGGGTATATTCTTCCTTTACAAGGTCTCCTTTTGCCTGTTACTCTCCACTACTAGCCTATTCCAGACCTTCACTCTATGGCCTTTGTTTTTCAGCCTCTAGACTTTCTCCCTGTAATATAATCTGCAGAGGTACCTGGAAGATTTTAATGGCCACATAGACTGCTAACACAGCGGCCACATTTCAGACACTGAGACATCGGGAGCTTCATCTGTATCTCCCTTTAGCCATCTGGTCCCATGGTCAGTCTTAACCTTATCATCATCCAGAAATCTATCTGCGAACCTTAGATGTCAGTCTTTTACCACAAACTTTTGTTCTAGTTCTGATACCTTTATTCCCATTATATATATATAAATAAAATGGAAGTGTGTGTGTGTGTATATATATATATATATTTTTTTTTTTTTTCCTGAGACGAACTCTTGTTGTCGCCCAGGCTGGAGTGCAGTGGTGCAATCTCGGCTCACTGCAACCTCTGCCTCCCGGGGTCAAGTGATTCTCCTGCCTCAGCTTCCCAAGTAGCTGGGACTACAGGTGTGCGCCACTACACCCACCTAATTTTTGTATTTTTAGTAGAGACGGGGTTTCACCATGTTGGCCAGGCTGGTCTTGAACTCCTGACCTCAAGTGATCTGCCCACCTGACCTCAAGTGATCTGCCTGCCTAAGCCTCCCAAAGTGCTGGGATTACAGGCGTGAGCCACCGCGACCAGGCTGTCTTTCTTTCTTTTTTAAATTTTTAAAATTTTTTATTACCACTACATTTGTTTCTTGACCTAAGACCATTAGGTTGAGTTTTCTGTTCTCTTCTAATCTATTGGAACCTCCCAAGGGGTTGAAACCTATTCAAGGGTTTCCCTCTCCACCAGAAATTACAGTGTTGTCTTTATCTATCAGTGTTTCTCTAATTCCAACTCACTATAGTTTCTGCTCCTATCAATGAAACTATGTCCCTAAACCGAATGTGCATATATCCTTTATCTTATTTGACCTCTCATCAGCATTGAACAGACTTGACCACTTACTTCCCATCTTAACTTTCCTTCCAGTTTTCTTCCTACCTTTCTAATCTTCCTTGTTGGCTACTTCTTCCTGACTTTTTAGGTTTTTAGGGTTTTGTCTTTGTTCTCTTGTCTTTTTACTCAATGTTCCTTTTCTAGGCCAGGCCCTGATGTAGAAATGTTTTTGGTGAATAAAGTTTACATGCCAACTTTTTTTATGGCTGCTTTCTTGCTATAAAGGCAGAATTAAGTAGTTGTGATAGAGACTGCACACAAAGCCTAAAATATTTCCTGTCTGGATCTTTACAGAAAGTTTGCTAATCCCTGCTTTAGGTGATCTCATCCAATTTCATGGGTTCAATTACCTTCTATATTCCAATGACATAATTCCTAACCTAACATACTGGCCCACATCTCTTTTGCACTCCAGACCTTTATATTCCATTTTCTACTTGACAACTCCACCAGAATGCTCACTGGGCATCTCAAAACGAATACAACCCAGACTGAAGTCAACCCCTACCTTCCCTTTCTTCTTCTACACTTAACCAGAGATATAGAAGTCATCCTTGATATTTTCTTCTAATCCCTCACTTCTGATCACACCAAGTCCTATCAACTCTATTTCCTATCTCTCAACTCACTCACTACAGAGTGATTTTTAATTCCTATTCAGTGTTAGCCGAAATGCTCAGGAGCTTCCCCAGAGAGCTTCAAATGAGGTTAGAGTTCCATTTTGTCTTCTCAGGGATCCAGGTAATTCCCTTCACAGCACTTTCACTTGTAATTATTTAATACTTCTTAGGGCTCTGCCCTCCGCTAGCTTCATTTCCTGCTCTACCTCCTGTCAGCTACATTCCTGTAATACTGAATGTTTCAGATAGTGGATTTACCACTTTTTTGTACTTCTTGTAGTTGCTTTAATGCCCAGCTCAAACGTCATCTTCTTTGTGAACTTTTCCCCAACCTTCTGAAACAGTTAAGTCTTCTGCATTTCCATGCCACCATGACACCCTTCTATTAGAACATTTATTATATTACATTCTAATTATTTGCATTTAAGAGTATATTTCTACCTTGAGTTTTAAGGTTACAGGAGAGTTCACTTTATCACACTTTGAATTCTAAATTCCTAACTGTTTTATGGTACAAAAAAAGCACCAATGACTTCATTTAGACAAATGAAATGTTTTGTGAATATCTAAGGAAATAAGTTCATAGCAAGCAGAATCTATTCTTTATTCTTCTGTAAGTACTGCCTCCATAACACCTATAGCACTGTACCACGATTCCAGTCTGGAAGAGGATATGAGGATGTAGATTAGATTATACCTGGTCTGATAGGATCACTGGAATATTTGGGGCACTAAAGCATAAATCATGGGTAACGAATTGTTTCTTTAAATAGCTCTAGCAAGCCTGGAAAATTAGGAAGTGCAGCCAAAAAAGTATGTATCTGCTGAGTGCCAGGTCAGTGATGTAAAAATAATTTATTACAGAAGCTCAGAGTAGGGCACAGTTACAGAACACCATCACGCTGTGTAAGGTTAAGAATGGAGTGAGGGTCCGGGTATGGGATGGAGGACTGGCACTTAATGTTGTTGCTGGGAACCTGGAAGATAGGTAAAGCTTAAACAAACGAAGGACAGCAGGGAAAACAATTCTGGCAAAGAAAACGCAAAAGCTTGGTCTGAGAAAAGACAAGCAATGTTCAGAAGACATGAATTTAGGTTTCTGTAAAATGCTATACTGTCAAAGATAAAGGAGAGAGAATGTGTGTCTGTAAGCATTGGGGTGGTCCAGTCCTGATGTGGTGAACTGCAACTAACAGCTGTACCTAATGTGTGCTAGCATAGTCAGAAGTTTTTAATTCAGCTCTCACAAAGACTAAGTCTAAAACAGTTACTGACAGAACAGATTTTAGGCAATTTGCTCCAAGTGACATGGCAAATGTTTTGTGAAGTCTGCTTACAAATCTTGTCTGCTTTGCAATATACAATTGTCTTCTATGGTGTAAGAACTAGTACATGTTCAAGAGTATGAAAGAGAAAGGATGCTTGTAAATAAAGTGGATTCACAAAGCTATTTAAAATCTGGCACTAAGATGGAATGGATATGAATTTCACGGGACCAGTATAGTCTCCAGAAAGGAATTTATTATCAACAGTCCCTCTTTAGTGCTTTTCCATTTTACAAACTACTTTAACATAAAATATCTACTCCCCAAATTTGGAACACAGGAAGAGAATGGGTCATTTTTCGACCTGAAGGTTAAGGGCAGAAATATAAACAGATAATACAACTGTTTTTCGTCCAAATGGAAAATGGGGGAACAGGGTTTCTCACATTAGGTACTAACATTAGAGGACACCGAGGGACAGCGGGAATGATCAGACTCCCATAACAGCATACAATAAAACCCCAAGTGGTTCCAGCCAAACCGGTTTACTTGTTGGAGGAATGCCTTTTACAAACGTCCCCACTCCTTTGCCAACTGGTTAGAAAACTGTCAATACCTGGAAAACAATGACATTTATTCAGCAGGATAAGGGAGAAATACGGTCACTGGATAGGGAGTCAAGGGTTCCGGACTTCCCACGCCGCGTGTGAACTCATCTCTGGCAGATGGGGCTCATCATACTTGCCGTAAACTACTGTCGGGAACATTAAAAAAATGTAAACCACTGGCATAAAATATGTCAGTAATATGACACAACTACTCTTTGTGTATCTTGTCGCTCAAAGTGACGGCAAATCCGGCAGGAAAGAGAGAGAGAGGGCAAGTCGCTTAAGAAGATAAGTCATAGGCAGAAGACAGGATGGAGATATAGATTAAGAGGTCATGGAAGTGGAGGAAAGGACGGTAGGACGCCAGGAATTAAAGAATTAATGAAACAAGGGAGTGAGATAAATGAGAACGGGAGAAAGAAAAGAATGTTAAAAACTTCTCGACCAACTCACCCAACAGGGTCCCGATAAGCTCGGGCAGCACCCTCATCTGCGTCTCTCGTACCTGTCCACCAATGGAGGCCAAAATCACTGGGTGCAGCCTGACCACGCGGCCGCCGGGGAAGGGCCCTGGGAGCAGGACCAGGCAGAGCGGGCGCTGGGGTCTGCGCTGGAGCTTTGCGCCGACGCCGGGGTCTGCCAGGAGCGGCAGTTAGCCCGCTGCTGCCCGCAGGGTCTGAGGATGCGGCTGGCCGCAGCGGGAACCGGAGGCCGCAGCCGTCCTGGCGTTGGCGCTGGGACTGAGGCTGAGGCCGATGCTGGTGCCGCCACCGGGGCTGGGGCTGGCGTGGCCGGAGGAGCACTTGCTGATACCCCGGTGGTGGCCATCTTGTCGAAAAGAAGGAGGGGCAGGAGCGAAATGACGGCGTCATGAATATCAGGAGCTTGATAGGCTGAATATACACCACGTGAGCTAGAGCTTTTTGCTTATTGGTTACTGGTGATACTTGCCGGAGAACTGAAATGGTCCCGCTGTTGGTAATTTCTTCCGGAATTTGTGCTCTCTGCTTTTGGCCCGAGGAGCACTGAGGAAACCCTGGGCTTAATAGTTCCGGATAAACTTGGGAGGGCGTTCGAAGAGAAACACTTTGTGCAGCTGCCGCCAGGTGGAACCAGAAAGCAGCGCGAAGGTCGAAATTCGTGTTTTAGACTTAAATGAGATAATGGATGCCAAAGTGCCTTTAAAAAGGATTTTAAGGCTGGGCGTGGCTCACGCCTGTAATCTCAGCACTTTGGGAGATCGCAGAGGAAGGATCGTTTGAGCTCAGGAGCTCGAGGCTGCAATGAGCGAGAAGAACTTAGCTGGATTTCTCCTGCTGCTTTGAGAATAGTCTGGAGGATGGGGAGAGGTGAGGAGAGGGAGGTGAGAGAGGGAAAAGCAGGGAGACCTGCTGGGAGGCCACTAGGTAATCTAAGTGAGAGATGATGGTGGCTGGGATCCGGCTGGAAGCAGTAGAAGTTCTGAGAAGTGGGAAGATTATGGATATATTTTGAAGGTAGTTTCAATAGGGTTTCCTGAGAAATTGTATATGAGGCGTGAAAGAGAGGAGTCATGGAGGACTGCAATATTTTTTTTGTACTGAGCGATTAGTAGGATGAAGTCACCATCAATTGAGATAGCAAAAGCTGTAGGTAGAGCAGGTTTGAGGGAAAATATCCTGATTTTATTTCTGGATGTGTCACCTTTGAGATGTCCATTAGACATTCAAGTGGAGTTGTATAAGTTGTGTAAACTAGTCTGTACTTTAGGAGAGGATTATATGAGGTACTGCCTTGTAAAGCTCTCAGCACATGCCTGATATACGGTAGTTATTAAGTCATAGCTATTATCACTGTGTGATGGAGGGAGCTCTGACTGTAACCCACTGTGTAACTTGGGGCAATCTACAAGTTTTTTTCTGAGCCTCAATTTCCTTCTTGGTATAATGGGGATGATAACATCTGCCTGTAAAGACAAAACAAAACAAAAAACCAAAAAAAAAAAAAAACAAAAAAACCCAAAAAACCATCGACTCCCTTAATTAGGTCAAGTCCTAGTGTCCAGCTGGCAAGTGGATAGGTGAGGTTGAACTTCTTATCCCTGATTCTATGCCCAAAAGCTGATTTATCCTTGGAGAAATCGTCCATTATTAGAATTCACATGATCCTGCTCCCCTGTAAATACTCTGTGTAGACATGCATTCTTTCTTTTAGTTCCCCAAAACACAGGTGAACAGCCAATCAGAAGAAGATTGAAAAGTAACTCTTGGATTTGATGACCTGGAGTTTTTAGCAACCCTAGTAGAGCAACGTCAGTGGCACTGAGGGTGGGGTGAGCACAGAAACGAGAAATCTGGTGTGAGAGAATGGCCAGTCTGAGCTGAAAGCAGCAAGTGCCAGCTTTTCTTTCAGGAAGTTGTCTGGGAAGGAAAGGGGACATTTAAGGAAATAGCCAGGGAAACAGCAGGATTGAGAGGCAGACAGTTTACGATAGAAGTGTTTCAAGTATATTTTAGACTGAGGATAAGGATATAGAGGAGAGAGAAATATTAAATATACAAGTACAAGTGTGAAAAAATATCTAATGAAACAGGGCAAAAGGTGGATCCACATTGAGAAGCCTAGATGGTCTTGCACAGGCTGAGGGGCACGCTGGAGAGACTGCCCTGGGCCTGGCCTCCCTTCTGGGTGCTTAGTAGGGGTGTGCCTGAGTCAAGGACAGTCCACTGAGATCATCTCATGGGAAAAAGGCCAGAGGACAGAACCCAGTTGAAGAAGTGTTGCTGCCTCTAACTGACCATGCACACCTTTGAGACATCCTATCTATGTATTGATCTGGGTTGGTGTGGACACTTTGCCTTCAAGAACTTTGCCTTTATATCTGTCAGGCCTCTGAGCCCAAGCTAAGCCATCATATCCCCAGTGACCTGCATGTATACATCCAGATGACCTGAAGCAACTGAAGATCCACAAAAGTGAAAATAGCCTTAACTGATATTCCACCGTTGTGATTTGTTTCTGCCCCAACCTAACTGATCAATGTACTTTGTAATCTCCCCCACCCTTAAGAAGGTTCTTTAAAATTCTCCCCACCCTTGAGAATGTACTTTGTGAGATCCACCCCCTGCCCCCAAAATATTGCTCTTACCCCACCGCCTATCCCAAAACCTATAAGAACTAATGATAATCCACCACCCTTTGCTGACTCTCTTTTTGGACTCAGCCCGCCTGCACCCAGGTGAAATAAACAGCCATGTTGCTCACACAAAGCCTGTTTGGTGGTCTCTTCACACGGACGCATGAAACAATACCGATGTCTTAAAGACCTTTCTCTCTGGGAGGAAAGAGAAGGAGATGGATGAAGAAGCAGAGACAAATTGAGTTGGGGAGAGGAGGGAAGTTGCAGAACCTCCTGCAAATGACGTTTTTCTCAGGTAAGTTGAGGCAAGGTGATCTTGCCGCAAATGGCAGTGCAAGGGCAGGGATAAGCCTTGGGGGAATGGACAGTGTTAGGAGGAGGGTCTGAGAGTGAGCTATTGAAGGCATTGATCAATTATGGGAGCACCCACTGAGCCTGGAGAGCTCGAGAATCTGGCCAGCTCTTGTGATTTTTCTCCAGCAACATAGCCCAGGAGCAGGAGAGTACAGATGGTTGGTGTGGTCTTTCTGGGAGGCTGACTGGCCAGGATGAGAGTGCGTATATCCCAAATGCCGGCTTTTCAGTGGCTGTATAAGAGATCTCTGGGGCCTGGGTTCATCAGGAAAAGGGCAGAGGTATGGGAAGAGAGAAAATAGACTGTCCCCATGTAGATGGGCAATGTATTGTACGAGTGTATTAGTCAGGGTTCTACAGAAAAACAAAACCAACAGGATATATCTAGAAAGAGATTTATTATAAGGAATTGGCTTTTGTAATTATGGAAGAAGTCTCAAGATCTGCAGTGAGCAATCTGGAGACCTAGGAGAGCCAGTGGTATAAGTTCCAGACTGAAAGCTGACAGGCTTGAGACCCCAAGAAGAGCTGATGTTTCCATTCAAGTCAAAAAGCTGGAAAAGACCTGTGTCTTAGTTTGAAGCAGTTAGGCAAGAGGAGGTCTCTGTTATTCACAGGAGTGTCAGCCTTTTTGTTCTATTCAGGTTCTGAACTGATTGGATGAACCCACTCTTAGGGAAGGCAATCGCTTTACCCAGTCTACTCATTCAAATGTGAATCTCATCTCCAAATACCCTCACAATCCCAGAATAATATTTGACTAAATGTCTGGGCACCCCGTGGCCCAGTCAAGTTGACCCATAGGATTAACCATCACATGTGGGTTCCTGGTTGTCCTGGCAACATGATTGACAGTCCTGCCTGAAAAGACCAGGGCCGTATATGCCAGGGCCATATTAAAGTTAGGACCTGTAGTTTGATGTATCTATCCCATCTCCTCGGTGACCGTCTGGCATGAAAGGAGCTCAACTACAGCTTAAACTGTGGGGGGACCACCAGGGGGAGCCCACACTACCACAACTCTGCAGCAAGTGTCAATTGGGACTTACTAAGGCTTCCCTCAGGGGGCGGAGCTGGCCCATGCCCTGTGATGCTGCCACCCCATCCTTCTGCAGATGGCCTGGCATGGGCAGGCTTGTGGGCTGCCTCCCACAGTTTCTCTCTGCCAATGTCAGCTGTTTACAGAAAGCTGAGCACCTTACTTAGGCTTTGTGAGTCTCATTCCTTTTCTATGTGGACTTTAGCACAATTAAGGCCCCTCTGCCTGGAGGCTCTTTCAGACTGGGGTGGTAAGGAACGCTGCCACACAGCTTGAAAGCAATAGCGTCACAGACCTCAAACTTCAGACCTGCTTTCTGCATGGTATATGTTATCAAGGGAACCTGGCCCCACCAACTAGTTGGCCACCCTGTCCGACACCCCTTTTGAGGGAGCCAACCTGACCAGGTGACCTATCACATGTAGCATCTGTCTGTCTCCAGGGCTCCCAAGGGCCAGGATCCCCAAGACCACTGTCATTCTGGCTGACTTGACATGAGATTCCCTTCTCTCAGCTCTCTGATTTCTGACCTCCACATCTTCATTTCTACACCCACCTCTAGCCTTTCCTCCTTTTCCCTTGTTTTGGTAGTCGGTGCTGCTTCTTTCTCTGGCTTGCTAACTTTAGTCCATCCCTAACTCCTTCCCCTTCAGGTTCCTTCCATTCTAACAGCAGCAGGCCTGGCCAACCTCCTTGACATTATGCCAGGGTGGGACGGAAAACAATGTGAGTTACTGGTGTTAGCTGCCCCTCTTGCCTGAGCTACTTTAGAGGCTGGACCCAGTTTGGCTCAAGAACCACGACCACATGGTGGGTGCTGATAGTGTGGCCCCAGCTCCTTCTGTGCCTGTCGCATGGGTCATACCATCCACTTTTTCTGGCCTAGAGCTTGATCATTGAGAGGCTTGCTTGGTGAGGGAGCCAAGGAGACTCACCTCCATGGGACTGGATGGGCCCATCCTCTCGTTCCTGGAAGCTGGTGTGTTGCTCTCAGAGAGTGGGATAGTACCTTCCAGGTATATACTAACCTCATTTATCAGTAGAGATTCTTTTGACGCTTGATATCCCCCAGATGGAGGAACTTAATGCTCTTTTTGTTTTTTCCCTACCATAGGTGCACACAATTGTAACAATCATACACCGTGGTTCGCAATATGCTCACTTTTTGGGTCCACTCATGAACCTCTTTGTTTTCATTCATTCATTCTTTTTAAATGATATAATGAACATACATTACTAACTAAACTAAGAACTATAACCCTTGTTCATTTAAAAAATAATGAACAGAACCTACTACCCAAACCAAGGACTAGAACACTAGCAACAGCTTACATTCAGTGGTAT